CTTCTGGGCCCCTCAGTTCTCCCACGGCTGGTTGTTTGGAGAGGTGCCCTGCAAACTGCTGGGGGCACTGTCAGCCGTGAACAGCTACAGCAGCGTCCTGCTTCTCGCGGGCATCAGCATTGATCGCTACCTGGCCATTGTGCACGCCGTGCACCTGTACCGGCACCTCCACGTCCTGCACCTGCACCTGGCCTGCGCCCTCCTCTGGGCTGTCTGCCTGGCCTTCTCCGCCCCCGAGCTGCACTTCCGCACCGCCACCTTCCTGCCCCAGGCTCAGGCTTCCATCTGTCACCAGGGCTTCCAAGCCCATGAGGCCCAGGCCTGGCGGGTAGGGCTGCGCCTCGCCTCCTTCTCCCTAGGCTTCCTGTTGCCACTGATGGTTATGGTCTTCTGCTACAGCCGCATTTTCTGCACGCTGCATCGGGCGCAGCTGCTAGCTAGGCACCGCTCACTGCGGCTGGTGTTGCTGCTGCTGGCACTCTTTCTGCTGTGCTGGGCCCCCTTCCACACCCTCCTGCTGCTGGACAGCCTGCAGCGCCTGGGCTACGTTGCCCGCCACTGTGCCCTGGAGCAGGCATTGGACTTTGGGCTGCTGGTGACCGAGGGGCTGGGCCTGCTGCACTGCTGCCTCAACCCCCTGGTCTATGCCTTCGCAGGCATCAAGTTCCGCAGGGAGCTCTTGGCCCTGTGCTACAGGGGCTGGCGCCAGAGCCCAGGCCAGAGCCTGTCCACTCGGGAGCAGAGCCAGCGTGGAGGGGGCCTGTCCATGCGGAGTACTCCCGAGGGGGACACAGACCATGGCTACTTGGTCACACTGTGAGTGGCTGGGACAGTGCAGCCCTGTGGCGAAGGGCTGGGACAGGCTTCCGGCTCAGAATCAAACTGATTCAGGGCATCAGCGAACACACGGCACAGCCCATGCATTGCCCCGTCCCTCCCCGCTCCCAGACACTATAGCTGGCTCCTTTCGTCGTGGTTCCCACGCCCCAGCGGCCCCAGCAGAGAAAGGAGAAGGAGTGTTGCAACCATCCAGGCCAGTTACAAAACACCAAGCATGCAACATCCTGCCTAGCCGCACATTCAACCGGGAGCCATTAGAAACCACACTGCAGGGTTTGTCTGCCTGGGCTTCATGCTGGCACTCAGGGCCAAGGGCCCAAGCACCAGCAGACACCAACCCCCAGCTCCGCCTGGAAGGCCCTTGCACTGAGAGCGCTGGAGTCGGCTGCCAAAGGAGCCATCCCCGCCCTTGGAGAACACAGCTCTTCCCAGCTCAAAGACCAGCGGGAAAGGACCCAGTTCAGGCCATGCAGCATGATCCCACTGTGCTTGGCTGCAGCACGGGGACAAGGCCTGGGGCTCATCAGTACAGTGCACAACTCAGCGAGGCTCACGCCAATTGAACGTCCTCCCATGCTCCAGGATCCCAGTTCCATGCAGCTGGGAGCACTGGGGCCGGCGCACCCCCAGCCAGCCAGCTAATGCAGCAGCTATGACCGCTGGCCAAGCCTTGCTGCCAGCCTGGAGCTACAGGAGCAGGTTTATGGTGGGGTGCTGAAGGTGGAAACCTTGCCTTTGGGTTATTACCTTTACAGGGCAGCACCCTGCTTTCAGCACCTCTTCCTGGAGCCAGGCTGAACAATGGCGAAGGGACCATCTGGCTCTGAGTGCTGCAAGCAGCAGCAGCAGATGGGAGCTTGGCTCTTGGTGCCAAACAAGCTCTGGCTCCATACAGCCCTGGAGCCAGTGCCAGGTCCTTCGGAGCAAGTACAAGGCCAGTCGGGTAGCCCCCGCCTTGTTTCCTGATGCAAGAAGTTTTAATTACACCAGCACCGCTGGAGTTCAGGGAATGAACATGAAGCCTCCCCTCTCCCTGCTTGGAATGACCAGTGTGCGCTTCCTGGTGTGTATTCGCATGTAGACTCAGCTCTCTGGGGCAGGGCCTGCCTAGCTTCAGCCAGTCAGGTACCCAGTACAGCAGGCTCTGACCCTGGTTTCTCAGCTCCGCTGCAAAGCACATGCTAATAAAGAGCTATGCACCCCGTGAGGCCTCGTGTGACTACGTGAGCATTGGGATCCCCAGTCTGGGCTCATGCCCCTGTGCATCTCTGGCTGGTCTCAGCCACAGGCTCTGCATCACATGGAGCTCCGACCTGTTCCTGTGCAGCCAGGCTAGCATCTCCCTCTCCTGCCCACCCACCAGGCTCTCCGCCTCCCTCCATCGCCCAGGAGCCAGGTTGCTGAGGCAGGCCATTGGTCGGGGAGACTTGCTGGTGTAAAAGGTGTGTCTACACAGTATGTGCATCTTGAAATAAGCTACACAAACTGCGTGGCTGACATTCCTAGGCAGTGCTTGGGGCACAACACACAAGAAACAGAGCCTGGCTCTCAAGCTCATAGTTTAAGGAGCTGCACCTGGAGAAAGCCAGGGTCCCCACTGACCCAGTGCACACATGGCCTTGACAAGAGCTCCGCCAGGAAGGGAGTAGTGAGGCAACACCTTTGCGGCCCTGCATTCCCCTCACAAAGCTTGTCGGGATCTGCCAGAGGCAGGAGTAGGGTTGCCAGATGGTTTCTGAAAAAATACCGAACCAGGGTGGGGGAAAGGACCCTGCGACCCTAAGAGTTGTTAAGCAATAAAATAATAATAATAAACAAACTAACAGTGTGGCCCCGTTGAGAAACGCTTTGGTTTTTAGCCTTTTTGGCCCTAATGGGCAGCCATCTTGCCTCCTTGCGCCGGGCCAGACAGCTCCCCTGCAGAACCTGGTAAGTACCCAGGATTTTTGCCTGCTGGCCAGGAAAAAAAAAATATCAGAAAATACCGGACACCTGGCAACCCTAGGCAGGAGGCTGAACAGCAACCGCTCAGCCAGTGCACCAGCTCTTCAGCAACCACAGAACAGTGGCCGGCCAAAAAGCAACACCCCAGCAGTGCAGCGCCCCCTACTGCCACACTGCGGTACTGGGGCCAGCACTGTTTGCTGGGGAGAGTGCCGTCCCCACCTTGCTCCTGGCAGCACAGCATCCCCTAGAACCATGCCAGGGTACGGGGGCCAGCACTGACTGCCAGGGGAGAGTGCCCCCTAACAAGGCCCTAGTGCACTGACTGGAGCATAGAGGTAGCCATGTTAGTCTGTTCTTGGTAAACGAAAAACAGAAAAAAGCAGCCACGTAGCACTTTACAGACTAACAAGATGGTTTATTAGGTGATGAGCTTTCGTGGGGCAGACCCACTTCAGTTCATATTTTGAAAGTGCATTGGCATGACCATTACATAAGAGGGTACAATGAAGAAGTAAACACATTATACAGTCACAAATCAGCTACACAGAATCAGCAGGGGAAGGCGAGGGGACGAGGAAGAGACTTTTTTAACTGTAGCACAACAGTCCCTAGCTCTGCACTTGGGCCTTGCCTGGAAGGGGAATGCTCCTCCATTGAACAGCCATCCCATTCCCTGTAGTAACTTGGGTTTCAATGAGGTCAGTGGTTAGGAAAGGCACCCAGAAGTCCGGGCCCCTGCCGTTGCACCGGCATATTGAGGCATCCAATATTAGAAAACTAAATCTGGCTAAGAATCAGAAATTCCCCAATCAGTCACACGTTGCACATTATTCATAGCCCTGTCAATGTTCATGCGAAAGTGGCATCTGGTGCCCACATGGAGAACCCCCCAGTGAGCAGATTAGTGATAAACTTTCCACAAGCTCCTTTATAAATTCAGCAGGGCTGAACTTGCCTTTCTAACAGCCAGAAGAGAACCAGGAGAATGTGGATTGTGCTGGCATGGCTTGCAGTGGCAGGTAATTATGTTGCATGTCATAGTGAAGCGGGGCCGGGATACAGCTGCAAGCTCAGAGTGAAGTTATATATGTATGAGGAGCCAAACACGACAAAACGCTTAAAATATTAAATCTAAGTTACAATATTAAATCCAAATTGAAACTGATTTCAAATGTTAGGGCTAGCAAGCCACAGACCAGTTTACATGGGGCATGGAGGCTGTGCTTAGAGAGGTAGCTGGGGAAGGAGAGGGAGAGAGAGACCTCACCACTCCATGGTGCTTGCACTCATCAGGGTTCCCAGATGGGGATGGGAGCCGGCGGTCCTAGGGCAGGAGACAAGCAGAGCAGAGCAGGAGATGATGAAGTCTCAGTGCAACTGATGCAGTTTGAATCCAGGCACCAGAACAGATTTTCTTGGGCAAGGGGAGGAGTTTTTGTAGGGCCAGGACACTAGCTGCAGAAGAACAAGGGCTTTGTTTTGGGCAAACAGAGGTGAGACACTAGAGACTGATCACACCTGGCTATGTGGGACGTCCCTTGGCCCAGCCCTCCAAGCGACTCTGCAGTGTCAGTGTTGTGGAGAGCAATAGGGTCCTTACGAGAACTAGTCTGAGAACGACGAACTTAGGGGCGAGCAGCCTGGGTGCATTAGCATCTGGAGCAGAGATTTCCCATCAGGCCGTGCTTCTCTGCTCTCGGTGTCCCATAGCTCGGTGCGGTTCCTGCTTGGGAAGAGCTGGCTCCATTCTGGATGCTAATGGAGATGTCTCCCTGGTCCATCTTCCATGCAGATGAGCCCGGGGCGTTTCCTGAGTCCCATCACCCTTGTCTAGAGGGGTTCGGGGTGTCTTCCCCGACCTCTGCCTTGCTTTGCCTTTGATTCCTGCAGAGGCCAAGGAGGGGGGAGAGTTTTCCATGAATGTCACTTCCTGTTTCCCCAAGAACATAGTGGTGACTGGGGGCCATAGTGAAGCAGGGCCGGGATATAGCGCCAGGATCAGAGTAAAGTTAAAAAGGCTCCAGCTCAGAGTGAGAATTAAACTATTGTAATTTTTGGAAGAAGTGGGCCATGTCTCTGTACACCAATAGCACCATCCCTTCCCACCCACCTACCTACCCCCTCTCCCTGGTCCCTTCCCACCGACCTTCCTACCCCCTCTCCATGGCCCCTTCCCCACCCCCCTACCTCCCCCCTCTCCCTGGTCCCTTCCCACCGACCTTCCTACCCCCTCTCCATGGCCCCTTCCCCACCCCCCTACCTCCCCCCTCTCCCTGGTCCCTTCCCACCGACCTTCCTACCCCCTCTCCATGGCCCCTTCCCCACCCCCCTACCTCCCCCCTCTCCCTGGTCCCTTCCCACCGACCTTCCTACCCCCTCTCCATGGCCCCTTCCCCACCCCCCTACCTCCCCCCTCTCCCTGGTCCCTTCCCACCGACCTTCCTACCCCCTCTCCATGGCCCCTTCCCCACCCCCCTACCTCCCCCCTCTCCCTGGTCCCTTCCCACCGACCTTCCTACCCCCTCTCCATGGCCCCTTCCCCACCCCCCTACCTCCCCCCTCTCCCTGGTCCCTTCCCACCGACCTTCCTACCCCCTCTCCATGGCCCCTTCCCCACCCCCCTACCTCCCCCCTCTCCCTGGTCCCTTCCCACCGACCTTCCTACCCCCTCTCCATGGCCCCTTCCCCACCCCCCTACCTCCCCCCTCTCCCTGGTCCCTTCCCACCGACCTTCCTACCCCCTCTCCATGGCCCCTTCCCCACCCCCCTACCTCCCCCCTCTCCCTGGTCCCTTCCCACCCACCTACCTACGCCCCCTCCCTGGTCCCTTCCCACCGACCTACCTACCCCCTCTCCCTGGTCCCTTCCCACCGACCGACCTACCCCCCCTCCCTGGTCCCTTCCCACCAACCTACCTATCCCCTCTCCATGGTCCCTTCCCACCGACCTACCTGCCCCCTCTCAACTATCTCTTTCCTCCAACGGAGCAGCTGGAACCTCGGTTTGCTTTCACTGGACCCATTTGATACATTAGGGATGGAAGAAGTGCCAGATCCTGTCCCGTGTCCTACCTAGGAGAAGACATGGAGAGACATTTGTTGACTCGACTGGCTTATCACTCACATTATCCATAGGGACACAGCAGTCAGTATTAGCACACGAGAGTCATAGAAGAATAGCAGGCTGCCAAGCAATTCAAATATTACTTGTAATGAATGTCGCTGTGAAAATAGAATACCATTTTTTTAAATAGTTTATATTTTTCTACCTTTTGAAATATTTTATTTCAATTAAAACACAGAACACAAAGGGTGCAGTGATCACTTTCCTTTTGTTGCAGATCTCTGCGCTATAAAGAACCAAAGGGACAGTATTTTCAATCCCCCTTTGCACGGCAGGACTTGTAATCTTGTTATCAAGAATGTTGAATTATCCTGCTGCTCCTCTCCCTTTGCAATGTACAAGAGCCGCAGGTGGAGAAGAGTATCAGAGGGGTAGCCGTGTTAGTCTGAATCTGCAAAAGCGACGAAGAGTCCTGTGGCACCTTATAGACTAACTGAAGTGTAGGAGCATAAGCTTTCGTGGGCAAAGACCCACTTCGTCAGATGCATGTGGCATCTGACGAAGTGGGTCTTTGCCCACGAAAGCTTATGCTCCTACACTTCAGTTAGTCTATAAGGTGCCACAGGACTCTTCGTCGCTTTTGCAGGTGGAGAAGAGCAACAGTCGGACTGGCGCAAGCGGGACTGTTTCAATCCCAGTTCGTGCCATTTCCCTACTGCCCGCTGCATGCTCTGCCCCCCCGGAGACAGTGCTGTTAAGCCAGCTCCCCCCAGCACCGGCTTGTGCTCCCCTCCCCTGCTGCTCTCTCAAATAGAGGCAGCAAGGAGAGGGAACGACTCCCCGATAAGCATTTGCTTCTCAACTAGTCACCTACATCCCTATCCGATACCACCAGCAGGAGGTTGATTTTCTTTTTTGGTGAACATGAGAACATAACAATGGCCAGACCAAAGATCCATCCAGCCCAGCGTCCTGTCTGCCCACAGTGGCCAGTGCCAGATGCCACAGAGGGAGGGAACACACCAGATAATCCTCACGCTCCCTCCCCTGTCACCCATTCCCAGACAGAGGCGAGGGACACCATTCCTACCCATCCTGGCTAATAGCATTGATGGACCGAACCTCCATGAATCTATCTAACTCTTCTGTGAGCCCTGTTAAAATCCTAGGGTCTGTCTACACTACCCCGCTAGTTCGAACTAGGAGGGTAATGTATGCATACCGCACTTGCAAATGAAGCCCGGGATTTGAATTTCCCGGGCTTCATTTGCATAAGC